AAAAGGAAGGAAGAAAGAAAGGCGGCCGCCTGGGGAAGCATGGGGCAGGGTGGGGGCTGGGGAGGGAGCGCAGGAGCACGGCAGTGAAGGAGTGCGGCCCCCCCGCACCCGGGCGTCACCGAAGTCCAGGAAAATTATGCTAATGAAGACAAACGGCGCTCACAAAGGGTCGCTCTCACCAGCCTCCAGGGTGCTGCTGTGGGGGTTTGAGCTTGTCCCTCTTACCGGTGGGCTTGGGGGGCAGCTGCAGAATAGCCCCTCTGCCGCTCCCCACGGCCGGGAGCCCCGCACAGCCCCGGCTGAGTCCCGGGGAGGGGAGCAAAGCCCGGAGAGCCGGGGCTGGGTCCGGAGAGCCAACAGAAGCCCACCAGGATCCCCGCTCTGGGCAATGCTTTCAGAGCCACGCTGGAAATCATTAGAGTTACTAATTATTAACTCATGCATGCGTGAGCGCACACACACACAGATGCACACACAGACACCCCCTGCCCCCCTCAAATATCCCCAGCGCCCGGGACGGGCACAGAGGCGCTCACGCACGCACATGTGCTGCACAGACGGGTCGGGGTGCCCGCAGCACCCCGTGGGGATGCGTGGGTGGGAGCCTCGCGTGGACGCTGGCCCGGCTCCTCGCAGCTCGCCTTTGCCTTCTTTCCGCGGCACAGCTGAGGAAGGCGCTGGCCTCTTTCCTCAGCCCCACGGGGTTTGGGGGTGGTGGTGTCCCCCCAGTTTCCTGCACCAGAAACACCGCAGCGACCGTGCAAACGAGAACTTAAACAAAGTTGGGGATCCTTCCCGTCTGGCAGACGGTAACGGGGCTCTGGGCTCCGAGCGTTAAGAGGAGCCTGAGAATAAAATCTAGGTGTAAACTTGACGCTACTTCGTTAATTGAGGCATTATAAATATAACTAGTCCGTTTAAAGCACGAGGGAACCCAGCGTCATCTTTAAACACAAACAAAGCGAGGGGGAAGCGAGAAATAAAAAGCACTATAAGGCTGGGGTGGCCTCTTACGCATACCAATGGTTTTTGTCATTTATGGCTATGCAAGATTTATGACTTCGTGCACCAAAGCTGTAAACAGAGCACTAAAACAGAAAACACTTGCTCCTTATGGCATAAGTGAGAAGGCACCACATGAAAGGGGAAGCGGCCAGCGTAGGAGGAGAGAAGAGGCAAAAATCCTTCGTATGCGTTTTGCTTCAAACAATCCTGTGAATGTTGCTTTGGAAGAAAAAAAAAAAAAAAAAAAAAAAAAAAAAAAAAAGTCTTTTTAGTCAATAATCAACCCCACACTTTCTTCTGAAACTGCTGATCTGCCATTCGCCCACTTGCCCGGCCAAATACTGAGAGGCAGCGCTGCGCCCCGGCGGAGCCCCCCGGACTGGCGAGGAGGATTTGGACAGGGAAAGAAAAGATGGGGACTGCCGAAACCTGCGGACACCGGGGAGCCTGCCTGTTTGGGGGGCCCCGCCGAAAACCGGGCGACTTTTTCCTAAGAGCGCGTTTCAACTTGGGAGCCATCTTCAGCGGGATTTTCTGACCAAATGTCTGTATTTAAGAACGGGGAACGGGAAGCGGAGGGCGTTTTTTTTTAGAAATGGAAGGGTATGTAAGGACTTTAATCGTGAGAACCGAAGTGGTTCGTAGGAATATGGAAGCGTTTCTTCCATTCATCTTGCTGCCTGGAAAGTGTATTTTACGAGATTTCTCCAATTAGTCCCATTTCCCCACGACCCCCCTCTCCCCAAAGAGGTAATTTTAAACATGAGAAGATGATTATTTTTTTTTATGTCTCCTATGATGTCGGGATAAGTGTCCCAACGCACAGAACCCCGCTGCTTTTATCTGTCTTTCCCTCCCAGAGGCCGAATATTTTCTTTCTCCTCCATTCCACGGAGAGAGATAGAGCTGAGCTTGGGGGTGGGGGGGGGTGGG